AGGACTCGGGCCTCAGCAGGGGGTTAATCCCCTGAAATCTGAGTGGCTGACTGGAGGTGGCGGGAACTGCAGACAGGTGGGCTGTGGGTGGAGGAAGTGGTGACTGGGGGCAAGCCTTTGGGGACTGCATCTTGTCCCTGGTGCCTCTCCCTCCCCCTCTCTCTGCTCTTTGGCTGCCGTGAGCTCAGCCGCTGACCTCCGCTGTCCTCAGCTGCACCCTTCCACTGGGGCCTTCTGCCTCACATCAAGCCCAAAGAAATAAATGGAGCCAGCCCACTGTGGACTGAGACTCTGAAGCCACGCGCCGAAATCAGTCTCTCTTCTCCAAGTTGCTATTTCAGGTATTTCAGTCACAGTGAGGAAAAGTTGACTAACACAGGGATTAGACTCTTGCATGAGTTCTGAGAGACAGACCATATTCAGACGAGACCAAGCAGCACCCAGGTCCCCAACTACAGCAATCAAGTGCTGGATTTGGGGTGTGGTTTGTTTCTCCAGGTTTCATGTTTTGGAAGCTTGGTCCTTGGTGTGGTGATGTTAAGAGGTGGTGGGCCCTTTAAGAGGTGGGGCTTGGTGGGAGGTCTTTAGGTTATTGGGATCATTCAGTTCTACTGGAACCAGGGTTATTCTTGCTAGCGGGCTGTTACAAAAGAGCAGGCCTGGCCCTGCCTCAGTCTCTGGCTTCCTGTCTTACCGTGTGATTGCTCCCTCTCCCATTTGCTCTAGCCACAACCCCATCTGCCATGAGGTCCTCACCAGAGCTGAGCTCATACTGGTGTCATGGCTTTGAACCTCCAAATCTGTGAGCTAGGGCTGCAGATGTAGCTCAGTGGTAGAGAGCTTGCCTCGAATGCACTGGATCCTGGGTTTGACTCCCAGCACTGCAATAAAATAAAATAAAACTTTGGGCTAAATAAAACTCTTTTCTTGATAATTTATCTAGCCCTTGGTATTTAGTTATAGCAAAGGAAAATGGACTAATACACAGAGATAATAGATATCTATTGTTGTTGGGTTTTTTTTTTTTTTTTTTTTTGATACTGAGGATTGAATTCAGAGGCACTTGACCACAGAGCAACATCCCCAGCCCTATTTTGCATTTTATCTAAAGAGAGGATCTCACTGAGTTGCTAAAGTGCCTTGCTTTGAACTTGTGATCCTTCTGCCTCAGCCTCCCAAGCTGCTGGGATTACAGGCATGTGCCACTGCACCCAGCAAGATATGTATTGTTTTAAGCTGCTACATTTTGGGATAATTTGTTATGCAGTAATAGCTGACTGATACATCTGGTAGGACTTATAAGTCAGGGAAAGACAATGTGCTTGGCTATCAAGGTGTACTTATTTGGTTCTTGCTCCCTTTCTTCTAGCAAATGTATCTGCACACATTTGAGCCAAGAGGTTCAACTTAGTAGAACCATCCTAAAAATACTGGCCTTCTAAATTTATTTCACCCAAAATATATTATCTAGATTTTTTTTTTCACTAGTACAAAAGACTGTTAGAAAGTCCCCTCTTTTCCAACAGCATCACCATCCCTATTGGCCACACAGACAGTGCTTGGTAGAAAAAAAAGAGCCAGGACTCCCTGAAACTTTTATGTCAGCTCCAAGAATTCTGTCTTGAAAAGTAGCAACAGGATGTGTGTCAGCCCTGCTGCGACTGAATGTGTTGGAAACTTTGTTTCCTCGACGACAGTGTGGAGAGATGAGACCTCCAGGGGCCCGTGAGCCCTCGAGGACTCAACGCTCACACATGGATTAAGGCCAGCACCAGAGCGAATTCCTTACAAAATGATGGATTTGGTGTCTTCCCTCTTGTTCTCCCCCAAAATGATGCGTTGTGCCATGCCGTGACATGGCAGGTAGCCTGTCACCAGCTGCCAGCCCCTTGATTTTGGAGTTCCCCGTCTCTAGAACTGTGAGAAATAAACTTCTTTATAAATTTCCCAGTCTCAAGCATTTCGTTGCAGCAACACAAAAAACACCAAGACAGGTCCTTGTTGGACTGATCAGCCTCCTTCGGGATGGCATCGGAGCACAGAGGACCCCGGTTCTGTTCGGCCACTTCCAGATGTTATATGTAGAAGTAAAGGAGAGATGGCAGAGGGGACCCCTTGTCCAACGCCTGGAGCGACCGCCTGCAATTCCTCCTCTACCACCGAGCTCCACCCCAGCCCTCAAAGGCCCTTTATTTTATTTATTTATTTGTGGTGCTGAGGATCAAACCCAGGGCCTCACACACGCCAGGCGCGCTGTCACTGCGCCACAACCGCAGCCCCTCAAACTCTTCTTAAGCACAAAGAGTGTGGGCAAATCTTCCCAGGCCTTTTTTTCTTTTTCTTTTTCTTTCTTTCTTTTTTTTAGGAGAGGAGAACCGGGGATGGAACTCAGGGGCACTCGACCCCTGAGCCCCAGCCCCAGCCCCATTTTGTATTTTCTTCAGAGACAGAATCTCACTGAGTTGCTTAGAGCCTCGCGATCCTCCTGCCTCAGCCTCCAGGATTACTGTCGTGCGCCCCGCGCCCGGCTCCTTTTTGCTCCTGGATAAAGGCCACTCAGCTGGAGCAGGTTGGCTGCGCCTCCTCCAAATTCATGGGTACGTGATGCAGTTTGCTGAAGGCAGGTAGCTGTGACCCTGTCGGGGCCTCCTGAGACCACAGCGGTGGGCCCCCCTGGGACACAGGAGGGTGAAAGCAGCCCTCAGCCAAACCTGATGGGAATCCGGTGGACACCGCAGCCCAGCGCCCTGGGGAGGGAGCTCGGTGCCTCCCCGAGGTCTGCCGCCGACACAGGCCAGCGCTGTCCGCTCCCTGGCGCCCCCTGCAGGGCTCCTGTGGTCTTCTCCCAGATGACAGTACCCCCGCAGTCATCTGGTTCTGATGACCCCAAGCCAAGGCAGCATTTTTTTTGAGTACTGGAGATTGAGGGCGCTCTACCACTGAGCTGCGTCCCCAGTTCGTTTTATTTTATCTTGAGACAGGTTCTTGTTGAGGGTGTCGCTAAGTGGCCCAGGCTGGCCTCAAATCCCCACTCCTCCTGCCTCGGCCTCCCGAGTGGCTGGGATTACAGGAGTGGGCGACCGCGCCCAGCAGGCGACCTCTTTGACAGGTAGTCCTCTCCCCCCAACACCAAGGAGCGTGCTGACAGCCGCTCGTGTTGGTGAGGAGTGGAATGAACCCAGGGTTACTGTTCCTTCCATGTCACCTGACTGTGCTGGGGTGGGGGGGTGGCTCCTCTATTTTATAAGAAAGAAAACTAGGATGTGGGTCACACGGCTGCTCCCCGTGGCAGGTCCCCATTCCTGGAATGTTCTGCGTTCTCCTGCCAAACCCTGATCAGGTGCCTCCCAGACTCAAGTGCTGGCTCTGGCCCCATCGCCTGTCCCTCCCTGCTTGATGGTGCCTGAGATGGGAAGAGGCCCGGCCCCCTCCCCTTCCAGGGGGATGCAGTGGGAGGCAGTTCCAGCTGGGCCCGTGGACACCTGCCAGGCGGCCTGTGGAGCCCTGCAGAGTGTTCAGGGCTCAAGTTGAAGGTCTCATGAGGACATGAAGGGACAGATGAGGTGAGACAGAGAGGCGCCCAGGGTGCAACATTCATGGAGACCTAGCTTCACACTCTGGGGCCCACCCCGGGAGCTCAGGGGCCTCCTTCAATGCTATTTTAAACTTCAGGTGAAATTCACATAACATTTAACTAACTTTTTTTTAAAGTACCTCATCCCCACCCCCTTTTTCTTTTCTTTTTAATTTTCAATTTTGACTCAGGGTCTCACTAAGTTACCCAGAACCTCACTCAATTGCTGAACTGGCCTCAGACCACAATCCTCCTGCCTCAGCCTCCCAAATGGTTGGGTTACAGGTGAGCGCCACCGCGCCTGCGCACCATTTTTTCAATGTGCTCCTCGTACTTGATGTTTACCATGCTGTCCCAAGTCTGTCCCTGCTGGGGCCCCTGTGTCAGGCGCCATTCTGGCTGCTCAAGGACAAACCTTTCTGTCCCATCTGCAGGCGTGAGGAGGCCTGTGCTGCTTCTCCCGGGCTCCACGGGGGAGTGGGCTGGGCTGATGGCCACCTGGGTCTGGGGGCATCTGACCGGCCACGTGGGGTCCCTGCCCAGAGTCAGGCTCAGGGCTCAGCTTCCCTGCTGGGGGCTGTCACCTCTTTGCCTGACTCCCTACCTAGGCCCTGGAGTCCCTGGGTGGCCCAGGGAGGGACAGGCTGTAAGCCTCCTGGGGACATATGTCCATTTGGGGTAGAGGTGGGGCCAGCCAGGGCACTCCCAGGGAGACTTACATGTGGGAAGATGGGCAGGACTTGGGGTCCCAGGCTGGGGCCCCAGGAGGTACCCTGCCCACTGCTCCTGCCCACCCCTCCGTCACCCTGGCCCACCACGGGCCTGGGCTTGGCCACAGGGACATTTGGACATTGATTAAATGACACAGAGATGGTGAGCTCTGGGGTTTATTTAGGATGTGCAAGATGGTGGAGGGTGGGGGACCCCGGTCCCTGTCCTGGTGCACACCGAGCTCCATCAGGTCCATAAGCCACTTCGCCTCATCACGGGCCATTTCCGGCCACCAGGCACACCGACCCCCAGCAACACAGAAATGGTTGTGTGTGCTGAGGACCTACTGTGCGCAGGCCCCAGCCGGTTCGTATGAACTTGTGGGTCTCTTGGCAGCCTGAAGAGCAGGGTCACCTCCAGTCCCATTTTACAGGCAGGGAAACTGAGGCACAGAGCAGACTGGCCCGCAGCCAGGCGCGTGGGTCCAGCCTCCGGGTCTGCGCCTGGCTGTGGGCTGCTTGGCACACATGGGTTTCAGACATTCACAGCCCCGGCGGGTGGGGGGGGGCGTCGTGCGGGGTCTGAGACTTGCACCATCTGTCAGCAACATGGGGCTTACGAGACCCAGGGGCAAATCCTGGCTCTGATGCTCAGAACTGGGACCTCTGGTGAGTCACTGCCCCTCTTGGGGCCTCGATTTCCTCATCTGTAAAATGGATGGAGACACTTAGAGAATCACTGCCTAAGCCCCAGCCTCCCCTCCTACCTGGAACAGAACTTCATTCATTCTGGGCAACCAGATTTCCCAGCCTCCCTGCATGGAGATCTGGTCTTGGGACTCTGTTCTGGCTAGTGAGAGGTAAGCAGAAGGGCCCCAAAGCCTCATAGGCAGACTTTCAGGAGACTCTGAGCCAGCCTTGGACTTTGACTTTCCCTCCTTGTGGGGAGATAAAGGCTGGAGCCCTGGTAGCTATTTTGTACCATGAGGCAATCTTAAAGACCATAACCAGGGATGATGTAAACTGTAAGAGAAATCAAGTCTTACTGCTACTGCAGCTGAGCCTGGACCTATCTCTATGATAGCTGCTTCTTGCTACCTTACACCAGTTATCTATTCCTGATTCTCAGGTTCACACCAGCGTTGAGTCCTTTCCTGTGGCCCTTGGTCTGTGGCCCAGCATGCTCCGCATCTCTTGAGTGACCCCCTCCCAGGGCCCCATGCCAGTCGACAGTGTCCGGTGCACGCGGGGTGTAGGCAGGCTGCTCTCCCGGCCTCCCCCCAGGGATTTGGGTGCTGTGGCAGTGGCCATGGTCCTAAGGGGGTCCCCAAGCTCCAGGCAGAATGAATATGGGGTCCGACGGTGGATACCATGCTGGGGCTGAGCCCTGGGGCTGTCCTTGGAGGCTTCGGCAGGGCGTGCAGAATTATCTTCAAAGGAAGGTGGGGACAGTTCATGGAGACCACGGTGGGTGGCCCGGGCAGCCCGGAGCAGGGTGTGGGTCAGAATGGCCACCAGAACCAGGGCACCGGAGCCCAGGATGGAGGCAGCCGCGGCGCCTGTCTCAATCTCGAAAAGCAGCAGGGCATAGATGGACAGCGCTAGGGAAGGAAATGGCTCTCAGTTAACACAGGTCTGTTCTCCAAGCCCTCGGGGACACCCCCCAGATGCGGAGTGACAATAGAAAACCCTGCAACAGCGGGTGTGGTGGCACACACCTGTAATCCCAGCCACTTGGGAGGCTGGGAAATGAGGATCATAAATTCAAGGCCGCCTCTTCAATTTAGGGAGGCCCTAATGGCCAGAGAGTTGCTCTCCCTTGTTACAGTGATTGGTGGAGGGAAATCACATGACTTCATCACAGCCTATCAGAGTCAGCCCTGGGACTTTTGCTTGGCCTATAGGGAAACAGGGATTTTCTTCCCGCAGTGGCAGGGGTATGGGTAGGAGAGAAACCCAAGGCGGCTGGGGGACTCTGTGGCACTTTCTGGGCTGTTTCTGTTTTCTCTGACTCTGCCCTCTTTTTTTCTTTTTTTTTTTTTACTAGGAATTGAACTCAGGGGCACTCACTGAGCCACACCCCAGCCCCATTTTGCATTTTATTTAGAGACAGGGTCTCACTGAGTTGCTTAGTGCCTCTTTAAGTTGCTGAGGCTGGCTTTGAACTCGCTATCTGCCTCAGCCTCCTGAGCTGCTGGGATTACAGGCATGGGCCACCGCGCCTGGCTGCACTCTTCCTTTTGAAGATGCCACCGTGCATCATGCCTGATGTATTAAAATGGGGCCAAGGACTTTCTTTGTGCTAAACATTTTGAAAGAGTTTGTTATGATTCTTCTTTTTGGCTCCGGGGAACAGTGGGTGGGTGATTGGCTGGACGTGCTTGTGAATTCTTGCTGAATGAGGTCACCTAACCTCTAAAGGAGTCTAAATGGGAGGTGACTGAATTCTCAATTTAATGAATCGGACATAATGACTTTCTTCTCTCTGTGATTTTCTTGTATTTTAGAATGAGGATGTGAGGATATATTTTTCCTCAATATTTTTGACCTCAGTATTTTTGACCTCAGTATTTTTGTCAGCCCATGAAAAGCCTGAGGTTGGAGGTACTGTCCCAAGTGCTCATAGCCCATCATTCTCAGAGAAGTACACTCAGCTGACACAGAGGAAAGTTGAGGCAAGAGGCATTTCACACAGCCTCACTTGAGCACCTGGATCCAGCCGCACTTGAAGCCAACTACCCCTGAGAATTTCAAATACATGAGACACTAATTCCACTTTCCTTTTTAAAAATCCCACATCTAGAACTTTTTATTAAGTCAAGCAACAATCTACCTACAAATTTCCACATTGAACCCTAGGTTTGTATTTCATAAAAAATACTTTAAATCCATCATTTTCATCTTCTATTTTTCTATTGTGGGACTAAGAAAATAATAATAGCTTCCATAAACATGTACCATGTTTATTAATTACAAATAAACCACTTACAATAGATTTATAAAAACTATTGGGGAAGGGCTGGGGATATAGCTCAGTTGGTAGAGTGCTTGCCTCACATGCACAAGGCCCTGGGTTCAATCCTCAGCACCACAGGGGGAAAAAAAAAACCTATTGGGGAAAAACATCGTTTAATCATAAAAAATAAAAGTAAATAAAGTCAGTAATGGCTAATCCCTTGTCTTTCATGAATCTGATTAGTTTTCCTTCCAATAAAACAGGTGCTTCTAGAGAAGGCAGGGGCCTAGGTGTTGATTCTACATTGACATATTTTTTTTTTCAAGCTTAAAATATAAGATACAAAGTGTCTTTTTTAAAACACTTTTTGGAGTTGTAGATGGACAGCAGGCCTTTATTTGTGTCATTTTTATATGGTGCTCAGGATCCTACCCAGGGCCTCACACATGCTAAGCAAGTGCCCTGCCCCTGAGCCCCAGCCCCACAAGTGTCCATTTAGGAGGGTGTTGTGGTGCACACCTGATGCCTCAGCAACTTGGGAGGCTGAGGCAGGAGAATTGCAAGTTGGAGGCCAGCCTCAGCAACTTAGTGAGGTCTTGTCTCAAAAATAAAATAAAATGGTTCAACCCCCAGTACAAACAACAACAACAAAATGAAAAAATAAAAAACACCCAGGCCAAGAAAACTTGTTCAAACAAAACATAAAACTGGTGAGAAGGGCTGAGCTGGGCTCAGCAGCAGAGCACTCGCCTGGCACGTGTGAGGCTCTGGGTTCGACCCTCAGCACCACATAAAAGTAAATAAAATAAAGGTCCATCGATAACTAAAAAATATTAAAACAAAACTGATGAGGAGCTAATCTGCTGACAGCCACTGTCTGGAGACCCTCTGGGTCCGAGGCCGTCCGTGAACTTTGATGGGTATTTACCTGGAGTCCCCTGAGCAACTCCACGAGGCCTGGGTGGAAATGGCTGCCACTGAATGACAGGGGACCAGGCACACAGAGGATCTGCCCCAGGCCCTGGAGGGGGACAGCGTCAGAGCCGGGATCTGGACCCGCGCAGGCTGGCTCAAGAGCTGCCTCAGGTCCTCCCACCCAAGCCCAGGTGCCATCCCCGAGTGCTGGCCCCGAACACACCTGCCAGGTAGACAGAGACCCCACAGCAGAAGAGGCCAAGGGCCACGTGCCGGAGGTGGCGGCAGTCGTAGAGAAACCAGTCGGACCTGGGGAGGGGGACCAAGAGAAGGCGTCGGGAGGCGGAGCTGGCTGCAGGGGCCATGGGGACAGGGAGGGAGAGGGGCCTAAATGACAGCAGGGCCCAGCTTTTGGGGAAGAGGGATCCAAGTGGGGCCCCTGCCACCATCATCTGGCCACCCTCCTTCCACCTAGGGCCCTTCACTGTCCACTGTCCATCCATCCGACCAGCCACCTGTGAACCGCCACTCACCAGCCACCCACCACCACCCGGCATCGTCCACCCATCAAACCCCCGTCCACCATTCACATATGGACCCCTCAGCCCGTCTGCTCCCCTCCGTCCACCCGGCAAGAAGTTTCTATCTGCTTAAATCGACCAGATTGTGCCCCCAAACCCAGACTCCTCTCCTCCACTCACCTCGGCCACCTGCTTCCCCCATCCGCCCTCCACCCAGCCAGTCACCCATTTCCAATCCAGCTGCCGCCCGCTCACTGTCCAACCCCGTCAGCTATTCAACCCTCACCCCCCGCAGCCATCCGCCCTGGACCCACGCCCTGGTGACCATCGCCCACTAAGCAGCACCCCTCTGTCCATGCCTCACCTACCATCCACTGATCACTCATCTCCCGCCCACCGTCCATCCACCTCCATCTGTCCACCAAATCCACCCACTGCCCACTCCCCGCCTCTCCACCCTCCCCCTGGGTCCACCCACCTACTTCCCTGCCTCCATTATCTGACAGACCACAAATCCACTTTGGAGGTGAGGAAAATGAGGTTCCCTTGTCACAAGTGATGATAGGGACGGCAACCTAGTGAAGGTAGGGCAGTCCCTAAGCTCTCCTTGCTCACCTCCCAAGGGACACCTAAGGGGCCTCCTTCTGGTTTTCCCTGCCACCCCCCTCCCACCTCCCTCCGGGCCACAGGGAAGTACTCCAAACCTGCGTCACATTGTCAGCTCCTCACTCACAACCCTCCTAAGTCCTTGTCACAGGGCTGGGGCCCACTGGTCCAGTCCCTCAGACTCCCGCCCTCATCTCCCTGCATCTCCCCTCCACCACACCAACCTCTGCCACCTCCCTCCATACACCGATCACTCGCGCCCCAGGGCACTGGCACATGCTGCTCCTTCTGTTTGGATCACAGTCCCCCAATCTTCTGCTTCCTTCCCTCCCACAAGTTTCAGTTCAGGCCTCCCCTGACCATCCTATGTCACCCCTACTTTGTCCCCTTCCATCCCATCACCCCATTTCCTTCCTTACTAGCATCCACCCCATCTGACGTCATAGATCTCTTGTGCTTCTTTATTTTCAGATGGTGAGTCCGTGAGTGGCTGTCTGGGGCCATTTAGTCTCTGCTCTGTCCAGGTGTTCAGAGTCAGCCCCTGCCACCTGCAGGTGCCACAGACATATTTGGGGACAAGGGGACACATGTATGTGGGTGTCCCTTGGGTGAAGGGTGCATGCTATGGGCAGGATCTACCCTAAAGATAGAAGTTTCCATCTGCTTGAATCGACCAGATTGTGCCCCGAAACCCAGACTCCTCCAGCGTCTGGGAGGGAGACACAAGAGTCTCGGTCCTCGGCCCACGGAAGTTTCCTTCGCTGCCTCTGATAGACGCCCCCTCATCCCCGCATCTCTGAGCTCGATTCCTAGGGAACCCCCACCCCAGGCTAGAACGCAGGTTCAGGTTCAAGTCCAGCCCACCCTCTTCCCAGCCAGAGGCCTGGAGAGAGCAGCCCCCGCTGCCTGAGGCGCAGTTAAAAGTGGGATGACAGCAGCAGCCCCGGGGGAGGAAGGGCCTTCCCGGAGCTGACCACAGCAGCGGGAGGCGGGCAGGGCTCGGGCCGGATAAACGACGAACGCGACGGACACCGGAGCTCGCGTCCTCCTACCTGCCAGGGCTGGGTCCTCGCGCCAGCTCCGCGCCCAGGTGGCCACAGAGCGCCGCGAGGAGCAGGCAGGTGAGGCCGAGCACCAGGGCGAGCGCGGCCAGCGCGGCGGCCAGCGGCAGCAGCGCCCCGGCCGCGTCCTCGGGCAGCCTCGGGCCGGTGCCCAGCTCCGGGCCCAGCACGTCGGCGCGCGGCCCCCGCAGCTCAGCGCGTCCCGCCTGCAGCTGGAACAGCAGCTGCGCGGCCAGGGCCGCCAGCACCGCCGCGGGAATGCCCAGCAGGGTCATCGCGGCCAGCACCCGGCCGCCGTACGACCGGGCCATGGCAGGGGTCTTGCGGGGCCGGGAGACAGTCAAGGAAGCAAGAAGCTTTAGAACGCAGAGGAGCTGGGGCAGTCCTCGGGCTCCCGGAGGGTCCCCAAGGGACGCGACATCAGGAGGTGCCTGAAGTTTTGGGGCTGGATTGGGGGCCGTCTAGGGGTCGCCAGACTGAGGACCCGGGGTATCGACAGCTGCTGGGACGCTGAAGTCCCCGAAAACTTGGGATGAAGCCTTTTCTTCTCTCTGCGGGACCCGCGGGCGCCCCCTCCTGGTCCGCGGGGCGGGGCCTGGAGCGGGGGCGGGGCCTGGAGCGGGGCGGGGCGCAGGCCCCAAGAGGTGCAGGGGCACAAAGCCTGGATCTAGGGAACCCAGAGCTCGCTGAGCTCCTAAAGGAGCGGTGCCTGCGGCCTAAACACCGACTCTATTGTTCTCTTTCTCTCTCTCTCTCTCAAGATGTTTGAAGACGGGCACCGTGATACACGCCTGTAATGCCAGCGGCTCAGGAGGCTGAGACAGGACATGGAGAGTTCAAAGCCAGCCTCAGCAACTTAGCGAGCCTAAGCAACTCAGAGAGAGCCTGTTTCTAAATAAGATGTAAAAGTGGGGGCTGTAGCTCAGTGGTAAAGTACTCCTAGGTTCAATCCCCAGTATAGGAGAAGGAAAAGGAGGGGGGGAGGGGAGGGGAGGAGGAGGAGGAAGAAGAGGAAGAGGAGGGGAAAGATAAAGGGGGAAAAGATGTTTGAATAAAATTTTAAATAACTCACCTTTTTTTTAAAAAAAAAAAAAAAGATATCTTTCTTTCTTTATTTTTTAAAATGTGGTGCTGAGGATCGATCCCAGTACCTCACAAGTGCGAGCAAGCGCTCTGCCGCTGAGCTGTAACCCCAGCCCCAAATAATTCTCACTTTTGTCGCTGAACCCGTAGGCCTGTAATTGGCTATGGTTCCCCCTCCCTCCTTTCCTCCATCACCTTCAAGGCTTTGAGGAAATGTTCTCTCCTCCAGGAGACCCTCCTGAATTCCTTCCCCAGCCTACACACCATGTTCTTCCACTACTAATTTTTAAAAGTTGAGGTGAAACTTAAGCCATTTTATTGAGCAGTTGTTATTACCTTCACAATGTTGTCCATTCATTCTGCCTCATCTTTAAACAATTTAATCACCCCAAAGAGACCCCTATCCCATTAGCTCTTGCTCCCCATTCCCCTCCCCCAGGCCCTGGCACTCTGTAATCTACTTCCTGTCTCCGTGAATTCTCCTATTCTGGACATTCCATATCAATGGGATCATACACTACGTGGCCTTTTGTGTCTGGCTTCTGTCAGTCAACATCTTTTCGAAGTTCATCCACATTGTAGTGGGTGTCAGTGCTTCATTCCTTTTGATGGATGAGTAATATTCCATTGTGTACTTTTGCTTTTTCATCTTGGGTGGTCTCCACCTTTTGGAAAATGTGAATCTGCTGCTATGAATGTGCATCTACAAGTATTCAGGAACCCCTGGAGTGGAATTGTAGGGTTGATGATAACTCCATTTTAACCTTTGGTAGACTCACCCAACTGTTTTCCACCCCTCCCCCCAGCAATGTGGAGAGATTTTCCTCTCTTTCCTGCACACACCAATACTTGCTATTTCCTTCTTTTTGAAATTGATAATAGCCATCCTGGGGGATGGGCAGTGGTACCACATTGTGGCTTTGATCTGCATTTCCCTAATGAGTCCTGAGTCAAGCTCTTCACATCCTTGTTGAGTATCTTCGTTGGAGAAATGTCTATTCAAGTCCTTGGCCCTTTTTAAGGGTGGCTAACTTTTTGTTGTTGAGTTGAAGGAGTTCTGTAGGCAGCCTGGGCAGTGAACCCTCCTCAGCTATATGTCTTGCAACTCTTATACCCTGTTCCCCCACAGCACCCAGCTCCTGTGGTGCAGTGGCTATTTCCTGGCCCATGTCCAGACCTTGCAATAGCCCTGAACATTGCCTTGCTCTCCAGAGGAGGAAACGGAAGCCCAGAGAGGTACTGAGACTTCCCAGCAGAGCCGGATTTCAACCCAGCACCTCACCTCCCACCCACTGCTCTCTACTACTTCCCAGATGCACCAGCGATTTCACTGGCTTTGTATTTCCAGTTACTTTTCCAATTGATGAAGCCAACTTTTTTTTTTCAAATTTCAAATTTACTTGAAATTGAATGCATTCTGCTGTCATGTATAACAAATTAGAGTAAATTAATAAATTTTTAAAAATTAATTGAAAAATAATATTTTTGTGTGCCCCGAGTCCTCACCTTAGTCCTTAATAGGTAAAATGGCTCTGGGGGAGCCTAGGGCTGACTCCTCATCCCCAGGTGGCATTCTTTTTTTTGCTGTGTGGCTTTGGGCTAGTCCCTTAACCTCTCTGGGCCTCCTCATCTTGCATAGGTTACAACTACTGATTCATTCATTCATTCACCCAGCTTCAACCAACACACTTTTCCTTGTTTTATAGGTGGGGTAGCTGAGGTTCAGCAATTCATTCAGATCAGCATCCCTGTTCTTTTCCAGGACTTAAGATACAGAGATGTAAAATACCTGCATTTGTTCATTTGACGAATAGTAATGGTACAACCACCTTGTGCCCAGCTTGGGAGGCTCGTGGTGACCAAGACAAGCTTTTTCTTCTGGGGCTCACAGCCTGGAGGAGGAGGTGGAAGCATACAAGAAACCTACAAGTAAAGGGACAATTTCCTAATCTGGCCAAGGGACATTATCTGAGCTGTTTTAGGTTCATCATTATTTGCTGGGGGGTTGCACGCACCCAGATACCCTGGCCCGGCCCCACCCCTTGTGTGGGGGCGACTCCTCAGTTTATGGTGTCTGCATTCAATCTGGAAAGTGGAGCCTGCAAGTGAGCCCCACGGAGGATGATCTCATTCACCTTGGCCTTGGGTCAAACCCCTCTGGCCCCCGCGGACCGGTCGGAGACGGGGCCCGCAGTTGGCTGGGATGGTTAGCAACCTTGCTGACGGGCTGCGTGCCCCGCGGTAGGTTCAAGAAGGTTTAAAATCAGCCACCTAGGATTAGAGTTTAAGAGCCGCTATCTCACAAGCTCCAACACGCCCATTTCTCAGAAACGGCCATTTCCCAGAGTTGCCCACTGAGGTCCAGAGAGGGAAAGCTGCGTCGACACCTTTTAGGGAAACTGGGTGCGGAGGGCGTGGCTTACACGCATTTATTTGCATTTTGGCTCCGCCCCAAGACGCACCGCTCCATCCCGCCGCCAGAGGGCGCCGTAGGAAAAGCATTCCGAATGCGGAGCGAACCCCTTTCTGCTTTCTTGGCAGATCCACCTGGAAGGACTGGCCTTTTGCTATTTTCTGGAGGAAAGAAATGGGGCTTGGAGAAGGAAGGTGACTGTCCCACAGTCACGAAGTCCAGAAGTGGGTCTAGACCGGAGGTTTTTATTCCTATATTCTACTCTCTCCCTCGGGGATCCCCGGGGTGAAGACCTGGGAGACTCTTGGCCCTCTGTGGCGGTCACTGGCCCCAGCGTCCATGGCGCCAAATAGGGAAATGCATCCCCGTAAAATAAAAAGAAATCTTTTAAAAGCTTGAATATGAAATATGTGGACAAATTGCCGGAGTCCGGCTGCAGCAGAATAACCGGGGGGTGACGAATAACTTGTGTACGTTGATACAGCAGGAGAGGGAGCCGTTTATTGCAGGACAGGAGCAGTATTTATACATTCCACACAGCTTATCTAATTAACATAAACTAGATACATCAGTCAACCAATAAGAAATCTCCACACTTAATGGCTCGCTTTTGTTACTTCTCAAACCACTCCCTCTGGCATTTTGCCAGGCACCATCCAGACTTGTTTACCAACTCTAACAACAAATGGTTTAATGCACCATGGGCTTAGCGTTCTCAGCACGTTTTTTTAATTTAGTTTGCATTTTCCCATTTGGGGACCAGGTCTCGAAAAATATTCTAGAATCAGGTCTCAAAAATATTTCTTGGTACTTTAAAGCTCTGCCTGCTTCCCGGGAGGCCCAGAGAAGCCCCAGTGGAGGAGGACAGGCCCTGGGCCGGGGCTGAGTGCGCGGAGGTGTCTGAATGGAGACTCCCTCGCCACCTGCCCCAACCTTGGTCCCAGTCTGTCCCCACGGCGGTGGGGTAGGGACCGGAATCGGCTCCCGGGACCCCGCCGTTCCTCTCTGGGGATCCAATCCCCGGGTGGGGGCGGGGGGATGGGGACGGGGAGGAGCCCCTGGGGGTGGAGCTCAGGGCAGACCCCTCCCCTTCCCCCGCCCCTCTCCGTCGGCGGCTCGGGTCACCGGAGCTCAGAGCAACCTTCCTTTCCCGGGGCGGTGGCGGGTTGGCCGGGGGTGGGGGGACCGGGACGGAGGAGCGCAGCGGTCCCAAGCTCGGCCCGACTCCTCCCACCGGGGTTCAGTACTCCGCGGGAGGCTGGGGCAGAGGCCGGTCCCCTCCCCTGCACCTTGGGGGACACCTCGTCCGGGAGCAGAGGCTCCCCAGGCCTCCTCCGCAGGCTCAGAAGGGGGCCCTGCCCTCCGGGCCGCGCCCGCCCCGCGTCTCCTCGTCCACTCGGTACTTGCGGCGGCGCAGCGGCTCCACGAGGCTCCGCGGCGCCGGGTCGTCCAGGTCCTCGGGGAGCAGAAAGTTGCGGTCCAGCACTTCGGCCGCCTCTTGCCAGTTGGCGAAGCAAGCTGGGCCCAGGCGCTGGATCTCATCCGTCGCGTCGCGAGTGAGCACGTCCCCGCCCGGCTTCAGCACCACGACCGTGGGCAGGTGCTCCACCGAGAACTGGCGCCCGAGGTCCCTGCGGGGAGGGCCGGCCAATCCGTGATCCTGGGGCACCGATCTCAGACCGCGGCACGTTGAGCCCCATCCCATCGCAGCCCCTCCCTTAAGTCCCTGCTGGGTCGCGTTTCTGTTTTTCTTCCTGGATCCGCTCGGCATACCACATACTGTACAGTCTATTTCTCCTGCTTATCATTTTCTCCCACAGTGAATTTGTAGATCCACAAGGGCATGGATTTGCCTCCTTACGCTAGTATCGTCTGTGCCTGAAACAACGCAAGGCGGAGTAATGCCCAGGGAATGTGTTGTGGGGCGAAAGAATGAATGAATGCATGCCATAAGGAATATCAAGTCGGGTAGGGGCTACCAATTAGCGAGGGCCACTTCAAGAAGGTGACCTTTGATCTGAAATCTGCAGGACGAAGAGAGGGAGAACTGAGATGAGGGTGCCCAGGTAGAGGATGCAGCATGTGCAAGGGCCCGGAGGTGGCAGGGTAACTGAGCCGGAAAGCCCTGGAGGAGGACGGTAAGAAGTTTTGATTACTGTCTAAGTGTTAGGGAGAAAGCCAACGAGAAGCTGTGTGCACCCGGGGTTGACCCTGCACCAAACTCGGTGTCTAGGCTAGACCCGTCAGGGAAGAGCTGGGCTGCCAGACTGGGCCCATCACCCACAGTTGTTAATTTTAATCTGATGCTTTCTTGGGTAGTCCTTTCCCAGGCCCACACCCAGGGAACACGTGGTACCTGCAAAATCCCATGGGAGCAAAATAGCATATTTAGCAGTTAAAGATCTAGGACCCCCTTCCCCCAGCCAAATCTGAATTTCAGAAAAACAAAGAAAACTCTTAGTATAAGAATGTACCCCAAATCACATGAGACATAGATACCAAAAACATTATTTGTTGTGTATCTGAAATTTGAATTGAGCCGGACAGTGTGTACCTTAGCTGGCCACTTTCAAGGAGGGTGGTGGGGAAAACCTCATCCCAAACAGAAGGTGTCATCTGAGATGCACTTGGAACTCGTGTTTCTTCCCTAGGGACAGAAATTTGGCCTGCTTTGGAGGAAAAAACTCCCTATTTGCCAGAGGGCAGCAGGATTGGGCAAATGTCCCATCTGATAACAAGGAGCGGGAAGGAAGCGCTCCATGACCACAGACCTTCCACTTGGGCACCAAAATGAATGAAATTGGTAAAATGTCAGGAGGTCGGTGACTCACTGTCAAATGGTTCATCACCCCCCCCACACACACACACACAGATCCACAGATCCACGCACTCACACACATACAGAAAAATGCCACAATTGCTGTGGACTTCATTATACACTTCTTTCAAGTTTTTGCTGAGTTGGATTTTTTTTTTTTTTTTTTAATGTTGGGGATGGAACCCAGGATCTCATATGCTAGGTGATCACTCTGCCCCTGAGCAACACATTCAGGTCCTGAATTTTTTTTCTTTCATGAGAAAAAGAAAGGGCTCCTCCCTAGCACTGCAAAAAAAAAAAAAAAAGTTGGGGTTAAAAAAGAATGAAAGAGCTGGGCGTAGTGGTGCATGCCTGTAATCCCAGCCACTTGGGAGGCTGAGGCTGGAGGATCACAAGTTCAAGCCCAGTCTCTGCAACTTAGTGAGGCCCTGTGTCCACATAAAAACTAAAAAGGTCTGGGGATGTAGCTTAATGGTAGAGGGATCCTAGGTTCAATTCCCAGTACCAAAAAAATAAAATAAAATTAAAAATGAAAGTACCTCTCATTGCAGAAAAGGAGCAAGTTCTAAAATAGCCACTACTGGGGCTCTCCTTGCAAAGCTTGAATCAGCTCCCTCTCCCGAGTTCTCACACCCTGCAAGGCTCCCAGCCACTGAGGTCTATCCATCCTTCAGAGGGCTCTACTCCACCCACCTCTCACCCTGGGAATGACTCAGCCTCCCTGAACTGAACTGGCTGTCCTTTCTCCTGGCTTTATGTCTGTGCTGGGCCCTCTGCCTGCAAAGCCTGCTTTTGGGACCGTGCCCACCATCCTCTTACATGCCTGGGGATATTTTTAAAGATACTTCCTCCAATGCATTCTCTGACTCCTGGATTTCAGTGAGGTTTCCATTGCATTTCCACTTGGGGGCCTCCCTTTGTCCTCCAGAACGCTCCTGCAATTTGTCATTTTGTATCCATCTGAGTCTTTGTTTCACATCTGATTTCCCCACTTCACCCGCCAGCTCCCGGGGTGCGATGGGAGTGGGAATGGACACCACTTTCTGTACCCCTAATTTCTAGGGCACGGATTGGCACATGGGGCTGTTCACTCCCCCAGGGAGAAGGGACAAATCACTAAGCAAATGCCTCAGTTCTGATGGTGATGCCTCCTCCAGGAAGCCCTCCCAGACCTTCCTGTCCCGCCTTACCTCCTCAGATCATCCTCGAAGGGCAGGAAGAGCCACTTCTTGGGCATGTCCTTGAGGAACAGCTCCTGCTGCTCTTCTGTGGGATCCTGCGACACGTACACCAGGGCCAGCTGGGCCGCCCGCAGCACATAGAACTCATCTGTGAGCCTCACAAAGAAGTCCTTGATGATGGGCACGAAGGCCTGACACTTGGGACAAGCCGCAGCGCCAAAGAACAGCAGCACCAGACGGTTCTCCAGCCTGCGGCTGACCTCGGCCTCTGTGTCCAGCTCATCCTGGTCACTGTTATTGCAGATCAGAACGCGCCCAGAGAACAGGGAGACCATGGTAGCCCCAACTGGGTGCTGGGGACAGGGAGAGAGATCCCCACGTGGTGTGGCCTAGACCTGCTGTCTGGTTCCTCTCCCAGGAATAGAGATCTCTAGGAAGCCAGTTTAGGACCTCGCTAATCTGCTCAATCTTGACCTAGTTCTGCAGGGCCTCCAAGGGCAGGGGTTGGTGCGGGGAGAGCGCCCTCGTGTGCCTGAAAACACATTGCAGAAAAACTAAACTGGGGTGTGGGGGTGTAGCTCAGCCGTAGAGCACTTATCCAGCATTCTCTGCTCCAAATTGAGAGAGACGGACTGAGAAAATGAGAAAGAGAAGAGAAAACCCCGGAGAGAAGACAGCCCAGTGAAGACCAAGGCAGAGACTGGAGTGATGCGGCCACAAACCAAGGGACCCTGGGAACCACCAACAGCTGGAAGCCAGAAGAACTCCTTGAAGCCTCCAGAGGGCGCTCTGCTGCCGTGACTTCAGACCTCTAGAGCTGCCAGATATAATAAAGGTTTCTGTGCCCCTAGGCAAAGATACTTTTGTTACAACAGCCGCTGTACACTCATACCTACTATGGCGTTTATTTCAGGGAAATTGTTCACTTCTACACGGTGCTCATGTTCTACTTACAATGCAGTCCCTGTGCCTTGGTCTTCTTGTATTTTATTTCAATACTGCTTATTTTCTCTTGTTTTGGAAAGTGCAAGAAATTTCTTTGCTGTTGCAGTATACCCAGCAGAGGGCCCACTGCCAGCCACTGCCACGTGCAGTGACTGGGTGATCAACGCACTTGATGCCCAGCTCCCATTAACATCTACCCAGCAACCTAGGTGCAGAGGGGAGAGTATCCTTCCCAGGGTCATCAGTTGAAGAGGAGCAGAGACTGGTTCAGTCCCAAAGCTTGAGTTCTACCCTCCTGTCAGGGAATAGATCTTCAATCCCTTATGCAAAATCCTAGGGGATAATAAACCTTGGCACTGGGAATGTTTCCCCTTTCTTTTTTTATTTTGAGGCAGGGTCTTGCTAAGTTGTCCAGGCCAGACTTGACTCATGATCCTCCTGCCTCTGCCTCCTGAGTAGCTGGAACTACTATGATTGCAACCATGGAGCCAGATAAAACTTTCTGGGTTTTGGCAGGGGGAATGGAACCCAAGGACCTGTGCATGCTAGGCAAGTCTCTGTCACTGAGTTGTACCCCTAGCCCTGGGATTGGGGGTTTTTGTATCCCAGGAAGATAACTGGGGGAATGCTTTCTGTACTGCAGGGTGTCCCTGGGGGCCTGGGCATTCTGTAAGTGAAGGCAAATGAGGATAAAAAAGAATAATTGACCATGGGGAAGAGCCTGGCTAAGTGCAGCAGAGATGGCCCCCTACTGGAGTGTTGAGACCACGCTTAGGAAAAAAAGTGGGTTTCCAAAGCCAAAGGGGATGGGGGGTGCTGTGGGAAGAACTGGATGAGGTTATGAGTGTAGGGTGCTTAGTCAGGGCTTAGTTTACCTGGTAAAATGGAGGGGTCGAAGGAGAGGGGAGGTGGAAAGAGGAAGAGGGGGAGGGGAAGGGAAGAGGAAGGGATGGCGGGGAGGAAGTGGGTAAGAGAAGAGGGAATTAGGGTAAAGGGAACTAGGGAAGAAAGAGAAGGAAGGATAAGTTCCAGTAGGTGGTAATGAGGCAGAGGTAAAAAGGGAGGAATAGGAGGGGAGGAGAGACAGCTCGCTCCCAACCCATATTTGCAATCTCAGCACCAAGCCAGTGCGGCCAGCTCTGGTTCAGTGCTCACTTTCTTTACCTGTAAAGTGGGTGTGATTGCAATAAGCATTCTGGCAGGGCAGGAGTGCGGCTGCAGAGACAGGTCATTGCTGATCCCTGGCTTGAGAAAGTAGTTTCGGCCAGTGGCTGGCTCTGGGCCTGTGCTCCGGATCTGCTTCCTCGCCCCCCATTCCACCCACCCTGGGCTGCTGGCAGAAACCAATGGCAGCTGGAGTGGGGGTGGGGTGAGCGCCTGCCCAGCCCTGTCCTCAAAGTGGTGCTGGAAGCAGGCCCTGGCCACCTCCCAAAGACAGCGCTGGGAAGGTCGGCCAAGCAGGGCAGAAAACAAGCAGGGGTGGAGTGGGCAGGGGGGCACAGAGGGGGAACTTGATGGGAGGGCCCCAAGGCAGAGGCACACATGGACACAGAGCAGTGAGACGAGCCAGGAGTTGGCCAGAAACAGAAGCCCCTGAAGGGACCCACCATCTGGAGCTAAGTTGAGGACCCCTGCCTCGGCCTCACAGTCTGCCGGCCTCTTGCCTGAGCTTCTGGAAGCCCACGAAGGAGCAGCCAAGTCCGGGGGTCTGCAAGTGGCTTCAGGTCAGCCAGGGAATAGGGTTGTGGACATCCAGGTCAGTACCTCCCCACGCCTGGTCAGAAAAAGGGCTTTGGAGCCTCTAGGTAAGCATTTAGGACTCTGGGGTGCAAACAAGACCTAGTTGGGCCTCCTGGGAGTATGATTAGGAAGGATGAGAACCTGGTGTGTGGATATTGTCCTCCCCAGGCTCCAGGGGTGTGACACTGAGAACTGACAAGGCTTTGGAGTGTGGATTTAGGGTTAGCTGGGTCCTTGATCCACTTTTGAAACTGAGGCGGGTTTCGACTTGGAAACTTCTGCGCCCTAGGGTGTTAGTTTAGCAATCCTCTGGTCCCTAGAATGCGTGTTTAGTATCGAAGAGGCTTTGGGACTTGGACTTGGGGTATGGGGTAATACTCTAGGGCAAGCGGCCCGGGTGTGAGCAGGGAGTTTCTGGTCCCCGGGACAACCTTGAATGCCATCTAGGGCTCGGCCCGGCGCGCCCGAGAGCCACGCCCCTGCCTGCGGGACCCACGTGCTTTCTAAGCACGCAGCCGAATGGGGGGGGGCGAAGCCTGGTTGCCATGGAGCAGTGGCAAGCTTCGGCGGGCCGTTCTAGCACCGCTGGTCTCGTTGGCTGCTGGCTCTCTAGCTCGGGGGATCTCTCTCTATGGTCGTGGCCTCCGGAAGGGGCCAGCCTCCGCTATGCGGGATGAGGGGCTAAAACCTGGACAGGTGGGAAGAAGGGTGTGGGGCGGGGCTTAGGTGCTAAGTGGGCAGGAGTGAGGCGCCTTTCTAGAGTGGTGACTAAGACAAGGCTTGGGGGTGGGGCCGGTGGCCAGAACTGAACCTGGGCCTGGGCACGCAGGCCAGGTCAGAAGCTGGGGACGCGGCTCGAGCTGACCGGGAGGGCCGGGGTCTGGAGCGTGTGCTTAGGGGCCGGAGCACAGGCCTAACTCGGGGTGGAGCCTGGCTTAGAGGGGGCGGGGCTCCGCCTGAGACTTGCGCTTATGGGCGGAGCTGGAGGCTTAACTTGGGGCCGGGGGCCGGAGCGCGGTGAAAAAGTGGGTAGAGGCGGGACCTGGAGGAAAACTCAGCGTCCGAGATGGGCAGGCTGGGGGACAGAGGATAGGGGTAGGTCATGGCCTGGGGACGGGACCTGGAAGAATGACTAGGAAGGGACTAGGTCTGTGGTCGGGAACAAAGCGGAGCCAGCTTCGAGGGCTAAATCTTGGGGATGGAGCGTGGGTTTAAGGTCTTACCTCAAAGTCAAGGCATGGGGCGGGGCCTGACAAGGACTGACGCTATGGAAATATTGGGCCTGGGGGAGGGTCCCTATACAATGATTGGCAGGGAGGCGGAGCCCTGGCCTGGGGGTGGTACCTATCAGGGACGTAGCCAACCACAGGCTTGAGGGCGGGGCCTGACTTGTGAACGCGTTCCGGTTAGACCGAGGAGGGGGCGGGACTTGGCTTGGAGTTCCAGGCTGGGCTGGCCGTGGGCGGAGCCAGGGTCTGGGGGCGGAGCTCGGTCTGGGGTGGGGCATGGGGGCAGGAGGCGGGGCCCCAGCGGCCAGCCCCCTCAGCGCTCTCTGCTTCCTAGGATGCGGGCTCCGGGTGCAGGCACGGCCTCCCTGGCCTCGCTGGCGCTGCTGTGGCTGCTGGGGCTACCGTGGACCTGGAGCGCAGCGGCGGCGTTCGGTGTGTACGTGGGCGGCGGCGGCTGGCGTTTCCTGCGCATTGTCTGCAAGACGGCGAGGCGGGACCTCTTGTGAGTGTGGTCTGGGCCGGGCAGGTATGGGGGCGGGGCTGCGCGGCCCGGGGCGGGTTGAGGAGGTAGCGGGTGGTGTGCGGGCCCGGGTAGGGCTGAGAGGGCTTAGAAACTGGGGACGGGACCCGGGCCTTATGGGCAGGGCTAGGGGCGGGGCCGGGGCTTGAAGGGGCGCCTGGTCGGGGGGGTCTTTGAGAAGAACAGCGGAGAGACTGGGAATCTTTGGAGGGAGATGAGTATGTTCAAAGACGATTGGAGCTTTGGGGACTGCTTAGGAGACTTTCGGGGACCCCAGTGACAACCTTTGGGCCTTTGGGCAGCTAGCTGGTGGAAGTCTGAGGGTCTCTGTGGGACTGTGGTGACTGAGAGACTTCTGGGAGCTGTCAGAGACTCTGATAGGGTCCTGAGGGCTCATAGGGGCATCAGTGGTCTCTGGGGCTGCACAACCTCTTGGGGTCTGCTTAGGGCTGGGGATAAAGGGGCTACTCCCGAAATTTGTAAAGGCCTTCCAAGGTCTTCAGAGGTTCCTCTTTAGGTTTCTTTGTGGTTGGGGAGCATTTTGAGAGTTTGGGATCTCTGTGGAGCTTTGGGTGTTGTTCAGGGACTGTGTGTGTGGGGGTCACTGTATATTCCAGTACTTGCTTGGGGGTCTCTGGAGACTGCCTTGGGGGTATCTCTCAGGATTTTGCTCAAAGGGGCTACTGAGGATCATCCTGGGTCAAAAACAGGCATTGCTGGGGGTTCCCCTGTGAGTAGATCTCAGGAACCGTCCCCATGTGGTGTAGGCGAGGACCTGCCCTGTGCTGGGCTGGCCTTCACAGGCTCCTGGCAGGGGGGTGGGCACACTGAACCAAGGGAGAAGAAACAGGTTCAGGAAGGGGCAGGGATGCGGTGGAGTTAGGAAGGCTCCTGGGCAGGCTGACTGGTTCCAAACTTTCTAAAACCTGTCCTTTCTTCTCTAAAGTCATGGTCCCACCTCTTCCCCACCACCCCTCAGTTTTAAAAAAATATTTTTTTAGTCGTTGATAGACCTTTACTTATTTATTTATATGTGGTGCTGAGTACAAACCCCATGCCTCACACATGCTAGGCAAGCGCTCAACCACTGAGCCAGAACCCCAGCCCCCCTTGGTCATCTTGACATCTCACACACCCTCCTTGTCCCCTCATCCTCTGCAGGAGAAAGACAACTTTGGCTGGGTGCTCATGGTCCTGCCAGCCTGCCTCTGCCTGCCCACCACTCCCCACTCCCTGTGTTCACTTGGTGCCCAAAGCAGCTTGCCTGAGCAGACCCAGGCTGCCTCCTCTGGATGGGACATTTGGGTCCTCCTTTTGCCTGGCGATACCATATGACACTCTCCCAGGGAGCCCCTGCTGGGTTTTTCTACTCAGTACGCTCAGTGGCTCCTTGTTCTGAGAGTCTAAACCATGCTCCTGAGCATGGCCCAAGAGTCCCCTACCCCTGCTCCCCGCCCTAGCCCTCTCTCTGTCCCCCTTGGGCTAGTCTGTGTCCTTGTACTTGCTGAATAACTCAGCCTGGGTCCCAGCCCAGGGCTTTTGCCCTTGCTGTCCCTCTGCCTGATGGCCCTCCCTCTGCTTTTAATTTTTTCTTATGCTGTGGTTTAAATGTTCTGTCCTCAGATGCTGTCTCTAGCCCTCCCCACCTGTCATTTTTGGCAGAATGACCGACACTCCTGAGTGCTCTTGTTGTGCCAGGCCAGGGGATGTCTGAGCACTTCCCAGGTGTGACTTTATAAAGCTCTCCCAGCAGCCTATGAGGCGGTGCTGTCCCACCTTAAACACGAGCAAACCGCAGCACAGCTTGGCTGTGTAGCTTGTCCAGCGTCACGTGGGTGGCAACTAGCAGGAGCAGGCAGTGTGGCTCTGAGGCTTGCCTGGGAACTCCCAGCAGCATCGGTATTTGTAGTTCTCTCACGCGCCTGCTTACCCGTCCCCTGATCATCGGGTTTCTCTCCCCTGCTAGACTGTAGGCCCTGAGGGACAGAGATGGAGGTCATGTCTGTCTCCCCAGAGCCCGGAGCAGGGTCCACTCCATGTCCCTGACATGGCTTGGCACAGTCGGCCGTTGAAGAGCCTTGAGGATCCCACTGATCGCCGCCTCCTGCTCTTCCTGCCCTGGGTGGTCCCTCTCAGTCCAGCACACAGCATTTCTGAGGTTAGGTCATAAAAAGACAGTGGCCTCCGACTCGGGTGCCATTTCTTGGCTCGCTTGCTCTGAGGGATGCCAGCTGCCCTGTCGTCTGGACAGGCCCATATGAGTGAGTTTCATGTGGATTGTCTCCCAGTGAAGCCCGGGGAGGCCAAAGGCCCAGACTCCACCTCAGTGGCAGCTTCCTGAGATACCCTGAGCCAGAACCACTCAATTAAGCTGCTCCCAGATTTTTTTCCCAGTACTGGGGATTGAACCCAGGAGTGCTCTGCCACAAGCCTCACCCCCAGCCCTTGTTATTTTTTTATTTTGAGACGGGGCCTTGCTAAGTTGCTGAAGTTCTCACTGAGTTGCCCAGGCTGGCCTCAAACTTGTGATCTTCTTTCTTCGGTCACCTGAATAGCTGAGATTCTAGGTGGGAGCCACCGCACTTGGCTTGCTCCTAGATTTTTGATCCATGGATCTATGAGACAATGACCGTTGTTTGTAGCTGCTAATTTGGGGGGGTCATTTGTTCTGCAGCAGTAGCTCACTAATGCAGCTTGTCAAATAGCCCTTCCCCTGTACCAGGTCTTGTTCTCACAACCCTTTAAGGAAAGCATGCTGACTAATCCCATTTTTCAGGTGGGCAGGCCAAGGCAAAGAGAGCTGAAACCATTTTCTTGGGAACACACAGCCAGGGAGGGGAATCTGAGCCTTTGGCCACCATGCCATGCTGAATTTAGACTCTGGTTCAGGAACACATCAGCACCCTGCCCCGTTCTCCCGCCTCACCCCGTATTTGCTTCATAAAATCTGGTCGCGTTTATCCTTGCT